TGCCCAAAAGCCAGAAAACCTATACAGTAAAATACAATACATCTGATCATATTATTATTTTACATACAAATTTCCTATCAAACCATAAAAAACCTTTGATACTAATCAATATTTTATCAATATTATGTCTATTTCTATCAGAGACTAAACATATATTATTACTAATTTAATATACCCTGTCTGCAACGCCATAGAAACGTCGTAATCATTTCCAAAATATATAGGCTTCTAAGAGTTTGAATTGTAAGAAATTGTACTACACAAGGTTCGAAAATGTCTATAAGTAAATTACAGTATGAATAAAATTTATGTGTAAATATCCAATTTTAACAGTTATGTAATAAAATATTATAATATGGTAAATATAATAGAATAAATACCCTAAATCGAAGAGGACGAAATGCTTCCTGGTCTTAACAGAAGACATTTGCTCAAAAAGATATTCGCCAGTAAGGAATGCGATACTGGCAAGGAAAGCAAGAACTCCAATTCCTATCCCATAATTGCAAGCGTTGCGGTCTCCGTTGTAGAGACACACCTCTTTCCCATCTTCTTTTTTGATGTACCCCTTATTGCTTATACATCCGAATACGATTATGGCGAAGAGCTAGAAAAATTGAACATTTCTTAAACTCTAATCTTGTTGAGTTTTAATGTAATTAATGAAATTAAAATATTTCTAGATTTTATGAACGGGAATTCTGGTTTAGATATTTGTTAACAACATTACTAAAGTATATTCCGGAATTAAATATTGGTATCATCCTTTTTAATTTACTGATATATCATGCGATATCCTGCTAAATTAATCAAATAGAAAAACTTTAAAAAATCATATCAAAATGATAAATGAAATAATGAACTATGAAAGAAATACAATTTATTCAATAGGATAATATTCTTATATAATATGTGAAATACAGAATATTTTATTTATGTTTATCGCTTAAGATAAAACCGTTTATTGCAATGATTATTTCACGGATAGTGCTAATTAATTTTTGAGACTATATTCAAAAAATTAGAGTCGTCTTTAAACTAATAAACATAAACTAATTAATAATTAGTTTGCAATTATCTGGTGTTTAGATTGTTTCGTAGCCCATACATATTTTTGTATATTAAATATTTATAATTAAAATCACAGTTTTTTACGAAAGTTAATAAAAAAATTATTCAATTTTTTGTAAAAATGTTCGGTATAAAGGTAAATAAACAAGTCAACACAAAAGTCAAATGTCACGCTTAATAAAACTTGTAAATCCGGCGAAAAATTTTTCTTTTATACCGAAATTGAAATTTCCGTGTTCAAACTAGTCTTCTGTTCGATTTTCCGTGAAATATTTGTTTTTTCCTGTGTATCTATTTATACAAAATCGAATCTAGTTTTGGCTTGGTCCAGTTCCGTCTTGACATGGAAGTGGGTTAGACGAAGGTCACAGGTCTGAGAACGAAGAAAACAAATGAAAGTAAAAAGGTATCGTAATTAAGAAATGATGTGAATGCCAAAAAGAAATCGTTTATCTGTTTCTTTACAATAAAAGTGTAAAATATTTTCCAAAATAAATGAATCTTTACTTTCAGTAATCTAAAAGTAAAATTCTTTACTTACAAATTAAAAAATATTGCTATATTTAATTTTAAAAAAGTAGATAAATAAAGAAATACAGCGTGAAGAAATAAATAAAGTATTATTTTAATAAGTATTACTTTAAGAAAGAAGTTTAAATTAAACATGAAGCGAATATTACAATTATATTTTACGCTGCTCGTAAGATTTCGGACTGCTAAGATAATCAATATTAGTGAAATTTCTATTTTTCGATCTAATTCGCTAAAAAATATACATAACTTTTAATTAAGATCCTATCAAATTTCAAAATATTGTAAATTAAAAGAAATTTTATTAAATTGTTGATACTCTTCGTATGAATAAGAACCTTACAAAATGATAAAAGTATTAAAATTCATATTAACATTCAAGATTTACTAAAATCAAAAAACATAAAAATTTCTTAAATAAAAAAATAATAAATGGATTTATTAACGGAACAACGTTAAAAATGTATACACATATAAAATTACTATTACTTTCCGAATATGAAAATTATACAATTATTAATTCTTTTCGTTATGAAAGATCATTTGATAGAAGTTTCGATAAATTTGTCGATAAATTAGGTCACTTCCAATTTTAACGACTTTCGAATGTATTATAAAGGGCAAAATTTTGACAGCTTTTTCCTCTACCAATTATAGTCAGTCGGCCTTAGTTTATGACATATCTGCAAAAAGTTTGTGACACTACACAATCGAACCCTGCAAATAGGTGTGCATCCGTGAGACATGTATACGCCAGCCCAACGAATTTGATTACACGAACCATTGATGTTTGCCGCTTGGCAAACAATGTATATATTTATATAGACTACCGACACACTTTAAAATACATACTCTTTTATAGGAATATACAGGGTGATTTAATCGCTCCTAAACCTAAAGGCAGTACCGATTATTCAAAACAACCTTACACTTGAAATTTTACAACTCACACAGACGCAATAAATACAGTCGCTGCACATATTCGCCAGATTATCGTATAAGGACACAGAATCCCTACTGTGTTATGACTTAATGATGTTTAGGCGACGATACTGCCTTTGAGCTCACTAAAGAACAAATCACCCTATTTGTAAAATGTACATTTGAATTCCAACTTGCATGGAATATTTATTATTCTGACTGAACCTAACTTAATTAGTTAATTGATACCTAAAATAATTTATTAATTATGCTAAGTTTGGGTTAAGTATATCTTTAAAGTTCGAGAAATTCCGTATATAATATATCGGATAGCAAACATCAATGATTCGTGTAATCAGATCTGTTAGACAGCGATCGCACCGATTGAACGCCTATATATGACTCACGGATGCACACATATAGGTAGAATTCAATTGTATGATGCTAAAAGTTTTTCGCGAATATCTCTGAAACTAAGATCGATCAACTATAATTGGCAAAGGAAAAAGTTGTCCAAAATACATACCCTTATAACATATTTAAAAATCATCGAAATCGGAGGTGACCCAATTCATCGACAAATTCATCGAAGTTTAACTTCTTCGAATGATTATCTATAGTTTCAATCCTAATTAAACTCTTACTAAATTCGTTCGCGCTTTCTTTTTCGAAATATGACCTAAAATCGACAGAGATCTCTATTTGAGACTCAATTACCTTTTTTTGGACCTTAAATCACTTTAAAAATTATGTATTTTTCACAATTCAAACTAAATAAAATCTGCCTTACGATGATCAAAAGATTTTCATCGAAGGTAACTCGAATTATCATTTAACCTTTTGTCTTAATCATGATTGAGATAAAATATATTCAAAAATTAATAGAAAATTATATGAGACCTTTCTATTATGGGGTGTATTGTAGGAATTTACGAAAAATCAATAGAACCCCATCATGTCAAACTGGTGGGGGTGGTTCACCCTTTAAAATCAATGTTCGTCGCATAAAATCGACATACTCTTCGCTTTGAAAAGACGACAGCATAAAAAGAAGGAAATGCTTAGCATTCGAAAGAAGAACTTACCAGACATACAGCTCTTAGAATGACTTGAGGCCTTTGGATGAAGGCAATAGGGTCGAAAGGGGCTCCTGCCTTTCCTCCACCGTACGCTCCGCCGTCCATCTTATTGCGACTGAGCTAAAATTTGAAAGCTCAAAGCTAATGGAAACACGCATGCGCTGCGAGAGAATATTCTTTTCTATCCCCACCACCCAATTTTTTAGGGTGGATCCTTTCACAAGGGCGCTTCAAGTGGATGGAATGTAAGTTAATCGAGAACTCGATTGTTTTCGATTAAATCGTCGAATTAAATCCGATTGTATAATTATTCATTTCATTTGCGTCATGTGAAATCATGTTAATATGCGTATTTATGTAGATGTGTATTTGTAGATGTAAAAATGATTAATTGTTTATTCTTAATAATCGTGAAATTTTAAAATAACAGTATAATGAAACTCAAAAAAATTTCATGACAATAGTTACAGAAGAAAAATTCAGTTTTTAAGGATTTATAATATGCAATGTATTTAATATATAGGCAATATTATTTCAAGAACTTGCTGTCTCGTTATTTAATATAAATACTTATCGATTTGAAAAACGGTATCAATCGAGAGCTCGATGTGCTTTCACTAATGTCGATTATATTATGTTAAATTTGATTTTCATTCTATTTATGTATTTTTAACTTTTTTAATATCTAATTATTTGATTAATTTACTTACGATAATTTAAAATATTATTATACTAAATAATTGTATTTATAATAAAGAAAGCAGATTATTTTACACTAAAAAATTTATTAATAGTTAGAAAAAGCTTATAATTCTTATAAGGAGTTATAACCAAAGTAAAAAAAATTAAAGTTTTATATTGAATAAACATTTTTTAAATCATAAAAACAATACTGTTTTCTACTTTGTACATTATATTTACATCAAGTTACATATATCTTCACTAGCACAAATGTTACTAATCCTAATCCACTAATGCAGGCACAAATTTTATGAATGTTATTACATTTTGATTTCACCTTTGGCTGTAAAAAGTAATCAAAATTAAAATATTTAATATTAAATTTATGTATTAAAATAACAAAAATGTAATATAAATTCATTAAGAGGTTTGTAAAAATATACCTTTAATATGAATTCCTCGAGTCTAGAAAGTTTCTCTTTTGTTTCCTCTAATTCTATCAATGTTGCATGAACAGAAATAGGTAATACTTGAGAAGCACTTACACATTTATTAGGATCAATAAAAAAGTTAATTCTTTCTTTTGTGAGTCTTAATCGACAATATTTTACAAATGCTTGTATTAGGGAAAATTGTTGTGTCCCATGTTCGATTATCTCAAGAAAATGTTGAAACCTAAAAATTTAGCGATGCTTCAAGAAAATAGTGAATTTACTTACATCAAATTTTTAATCTTTGTACAAAAAGTGTAATTTGAAACAATTTTAACAAAATAATATTCAACCTGTCTTCATTTGTTATTACAATTCTAGATCTTCTTTTTTTAATATTTAAAGTTCTTTGTAATTCTTTAGCTTTCTTAGGATCAATACCTATATTAAAATTTTTCAGATTAGATATAAAACATATTTTGTAGGTAATTATAAGATACAAAATGAAATTTAAATCTTTTATTCAATAAGGATAAATAAAAATTGTTATGCTAAAATTTTATAGTACCTAACGTTATTAGTTCTTGCACACTGAGCTCATGTAATACATCAGTTGATATATTTCTTTTCTTGCATTCTGGTATTAATTCAGATGCACCCAAACCACGCAATAAAGTGGCTGTATGCTTAGTAAAACCAAGGGGATCATAACAACTCATTGTCAAGTAAATCTAAAAATCAAAAGCCAGAATTCTTTATTTTGGTAAACATACAAATATTTTTAAAAAGTACTCAAATATAATTTCCATTTATTTTATATATATGTAACTACATTAAATTTCTAAGATAAAACTATTAACCTACATATTACATTTCAAAGATTACTTAATAATTGAGTTTAAGGACAATATTAATTTATTCACTATAATTTAGTTACTTATAATCTTTGATCATATTTAGTCACATTTATCGAAAATTAGGTTAAATCAATTGGAGGTGTTCATAAATTTATCAAACATTTATGTTGAACATTATGCTGTAAGACATATTAAATAAATACATTAAGAATATCCATTTAAATGTATATTTAACATATTACTATATTAAAACTTTATAATAAAATTATTTATATTTTTAATTAAATACGATAAAATATGTGATTTTAATTTAATTAATTAAAATTCTTTAAATATATGTAAAATAAATACTTTTTAATATGTATATGT